CACTTTTGAGTGTTAAAAAGAAAAAGTCATCACGGGAACGTGTTTTTGGGGTTCAAAGGGAAACCAAAATGAAAAACCCGGTCCCCTAAAGGCACCCATTTCCTTTCAGGTTGATGCTCAGTTTCCTTTAGATGTTATCTACAAACTGCTCTTTAGGGTAGCTCATTTCCTGTGACAGATTTGTCTTGCGCTCTGGGGCCAGAGCTGTGAGATTTGTTCTGGCATTGAATTGCTCTTTTGATCCGATGCTCATGTCCTGTTGTGGACTTGATTTGTTGTTTTGGTCAGATGGGAAATTTTGTTTGTGTTTATTTGCCCTCTAGGTTAGATGCTTATGGCCCCGTTCTAAAGATTTGGTTTGCCCCTTCAGTTAGAGGTTCGTTTCCTGTGACGGGCATTCAAAATTGGGGTACCTCAACTTCTTCTTGCTTTGCATTGATTTTGATTTGCTTTCCTGTGCAATTTTCCGTTGCTCTACACAATCTATCAACATACACTTGCTTCTTGTTTTTTCCCTTGGACTTCTCTCTATGTCATTTCCCTTCAATTCTCCTTGCTTGCATTTGTCTGCAGCCCTGCCATCGCTGTTGGCTCAGACTTCGGGGCCGCCCTCAGCCTGCGGCCTGCGCGTTAGCACCCCCTTTGGGGTGTCTTTTTGCTTGAAGAATCGGCCGTCACGGACGAGGTCCTGTTTGGTTGGATTATCACTTAGATGAACCGATCTATACTTGTTTGACTGTCAGAAATACTTTGTAGCAGAAAGAAAACGTACATGTCTATACTTACATGACTGTCAGACATACCCTTGTAGCAGAAAAAGAAAACATAATTGATGTAGAATCGTTTTGCAAAACACCTTGGATTGGGCAGTGGGAAGAGATCGTTGCAGAGGTTTGTGCCGACCATGCCTTCCATGCTGACATCTCCTGCTACAGTTGCGGAGCAGGCGCGAAGCCAAGTAACCTACTACAGAATCTTATCAATTTCTCTAGTCCCAACATACCCCGGGCATGTTTCATGTTTCAGATACTGTTGTTTGCTTGCTTTCTTGTTTGCTTGCTTGCCTTTTCTTGCTTACGAGCTTGTTTGCTTGTTTGCTCAATTTGTTTGTTTGTTTGTTTGGTTGGCGGCTGGTTGGTTTGTTTTTTGAGTTGTTTACTTGTTTGGTTGTTTCCTGGTTGTTTGTTTGTTTGCTTGTTTGTTTGTTTGTTCATGTATTTGGTTGTTTGTTTTTTGTTTGTTTGTTTGTTTGTTTGTTTGTGTGTGTGTGGGTGGGTGTTTGTGATTGCGTTGTTGCTTGTTCTGTTGTGTTGTGTGGTGTTTTGTTTTGGCATGTTTTGTTTTTTCGTGTTGTCTTGTCTTGGTTTTAGTGGGTGCCTGTATGCTTGTTTGTTGTTTGGTTGGCTTTTTGCTTGCTTGCTTGTTTTTTGTTTGCTTGTTTGATTGTTTCTCTGATTGTTTGTTTGTTTGGTTGTTTGTTTGCTTAGTTGTTTGATTGTTTCTCTGATTATTTCTTTCTTTCTTTCCTTCTTGCTTTGTTGGTTTGTTTGTTTGATTGTTTGTTTGTTTGTTTGTTTGTTGGATTGTTTCTCTGATTGTTTCTTTCTTTATTTCTTTCTTTCTTTCTTTGTTTGTTTGTTTGATTGTTTCTCTGATTGTTTCTTTCTTTCTTTCTTTCTTTGTTTATTTGTTTGTTTAATTAATTGATTGATTGATTCATTGATTGTTTTTTTGTTTGTTTGTTTGATTGTTTGTTTGTTTGTTTGATTGTTTCTCTGACCGTTTCTTTTTGTTTGTTGCTTCTGTGCTTGTTTCTTTGTTTGTTTCTTGCTTGTTTTCTTTCTTGCTGTCTTGCTTTCTTGCTTGCTTGCTTGCCTGCCTGCCTGCCTGCTTGCTTGCTTGCTCCTGTTGATTTTGTTTGGTTTGTTTGTTTTGTTTGCTTGTTTGTTTGTTTGTTTGTTTGTCTGTTCGTTCGTTCGTTTGTTTGTTCGGTTCGTTTGCGTCTTTGTTTGTTTGTTTGGTTGGTTGGTTGGTTGCCGGGTTGGTTTGTTTCTTTGCTTGGTTTGTTTCTTTGCTTGGTTGCTTGGTTGCTTGGTTGCTTGGTTGCTTGGTTGCTTGGTTGCTTGGTTGGTTGGTTGGTTGCTTGGTTGCTTGGTTGCTTGGTTGCTTGGTTGCTTGGTTGCTTGGTTGCTTGGTTGCTTGGTTGCTTGGTTGCTTGGTTGGTTTCTTGGTTTCTTGGTTGCTTGGTTGGTTTCTTGGTTGCTTGGTTGCTTGATTGGTTGGTTGCTTGGTTGGTTGCTTGGTCGGTTGCTTGGTTGGTTTCGTGGTTGCTTGGTTGCTTGATTGGTTGGTTGCTTGGTTGGTTGCTTGGTCGGTTGGTTGGTTGTTTGGTTGGTTGGTTGATTGTCTTCAAACAAATAAAGTTGTTTGTTGTTGTCGTATTGTTGTTCCGCCTTTCACATTGGTTTCTGGGACTGCCAGCAGCTTTCTTGCTGCAACCTTGTTTTGTATAGCTGGCTTGTAGCACGCAACAGTACTTGCTGACCAGGCTGTCCTTTTCTTTCAGGTTACCAGAAAAAAAGGGTGTGTCTTCTCACAAGAGACAAGAGGGTGTGTCTTCTTACGGGCCCCCCGAAATTGGCTAGGGTTTCCTTTTCGTGTCCCTTGCAAACCAACAAAATCTAGGGGTTGATTCCCCAGGCTTTTCAGCCATTGTTCTTTTCAAAGTCCAGCCATTTCCCCAGGGTTTTTGGCGGTTCTAGGAAGATCCGGATCCCTGGGTTCAGAATGGAATTGGAAGGTACCCCTAGAATTCCGGCCCCTTTTTGAAGTGCAGCTGATTCATGGGGTCGGAATCAAATTCACGTACCCCCAACAAGGGTACCCCCCAAAGAGCAAAAAGCCACGCACACCTGGATGCCTCCGGCGAAAAAACAAGCTCGACGGGCTGAGGCCTTTGACCCGCGCTGCGGGGAGCTGGTGGCGTTTCTGGAGCAGCTGGCGAAGCTTCGGCTGCCAGGCGAGAGTCGGCGCAAACCGGAGGCAAAGGGAGAGATGGTTCCGATGTCCCATTTGAAACTAGGTCCCCCAGCTAGGCGCCCTTTCTCACCCACTTTTTGGGGGGGAGGGTTCCCCGTGTCTAAAAATGGACTACAGAAAAAAAGGTACCCATATTCTAGGCTCTCTACTGGACACCAAAAAGCTTCAAGAGAAACCAGAATGCCCCATGCAAAGCCCTGACAACCTAAAGCAGGAACATAGGGCACACCATGGCCTTGAAGGGACAGAAAGAACGTTCACTGGGAGCCCGAGTCGTCCAGTCAGAGATCGATCATTGCTCACGGCCGAAAGGGAAGGGGAGGAGTCCAAACCAATGGGCTAACTTTTCCCAGGTGGTTTCATTCGTCATCTTAACCATGGTGGTTTCCCTGGTGGTTTCCCTGTCACCCCCATGTTTTACGGAGCTTTTGGTCAATCCTCCAGGGTTAGTTTCTGCGGTTCGTGCAGGCTGGGAGCTCCGGCCATTCGGCTCCTATGTGTCAGGCCAGGGGCCCAGCGGGTCTTTAAGTCGCTTAGCTTCTATGTACTGAATATTTTTGTATTTTCCCCTGTTGGCTTTAAAAGGAGCCTACTGCTGGACATATTTTTCTTTTTTTCTGGGAGGCTCAAGCAAGTGGAGGTTAGGCATCCTTCTGTCCAGAGCAAAAAGCCCAAAGACCCGCGTAAGTGGAACTTTTTGCAAAGGATGAGACAGAATTCGACATCAACGCCTAGAAGGGGCTTCTCACATGAAATCATTTTACATTTTGTCCGCTACATGTGGTTGCCGGAGTCTGAAGGAACTTTTCTGCTGAGGCTCTTGAGCTGAGGTAGAGGGGGGATACACCCACCGCGACGAGGGTGATATTTCAAATAATTTCCGGAACAGGGCAATCTCCATTTTCAGGTGCGCCACAATCAAAACCCGGGTAGATGAAGGTTAGTAAGGGACAATCCCAACCATACATAGCTGCGGATATCCGCCTTCTTGAGCATTTCATACCGGGTTTTGATTATGACTCAGGTGAGGCGTCACGAGTCTTGTGACCACCTTCAGGTATCTGCTCCTCCGCGGTTGCAGCGTACAAAATGATCATATGGCTGTGAGTACCATTTTGGGGTAGGTGCACCACCCATTTTAGTCTATTTTAGTGGGGATTGGGATGTTCACTGGGGGTACGGGATTTTGACCCATGGCCATATGGGTATGGCTCAAAATTGAACAGGCGGGGTTGCGCAGGTGTTGGTCCATGTTTCCGCTTAGGGTTCTATTTTGGGTACCGGTTTTTTGAGCCACAGCTATATGGGTGGCTCGTCTTTCTTTTTTTTTGGAACCCTCAACAGTCAAGTTGGATTTCCTTGCGGTTTCGCAAAACAAAAACGAACCAAGGGGGTACCAACTCCAAGCATGGGCCTGACTGGCAAAGTGGGGTTCATAGGGAACCCGGCAAAAATATCCTGGTTTCTGCCTATGTATTTTCTGTTCGAGCTCACCAATTCGAGGATACAACGAGCTTAAACCATGATAAAGGTCCTTTACTTGAAGATTCCTTACTTCAGACGTTGAACATATTGTACAATGTGCAGTTTGTTTCGTTGCAATATTCAGGGAATCCGCATCTATCATTTGCCAAGCCACAAGAAGATGAATGGAGCCACAACCAAACCCAGGGTAGATTGGTTAGTAGCGAACAGCCCGTGAAAAGCGGCAGGGGGCTTGCCCAACACAAAACGGGGATAGTGCATAGATTGCTGCCCGCCAATGGTTCAAGCCCCTCGTAGCGAAGGATTCCTTTTAAAGGCGTCGCCACTTTTCTCACAGGTGGCAAAAAGACCCCACTGCTTGAAAGTATTTTTCTTGGTGGCTCCCAGCCATCCGGTTCCTTAGCCTTTTAGCTTTTTCGTGTTTTAGTGGTTGGATTTCCCATGTAGCCCACTAAAAGTTCGTCACTTTGAGCGGGGGATCCGAAAACGGGCAGCCCAGTCTTGGGGTCCGTGCGCATTTTGCGCTTCGCATCGGTCTCGATCGGTTGAAGGGGAGTCCCCCGTCCTCCAGTTTCTTGGGGAGGAGGTGAGGCACAATCACCCTGGGCAATTGGAGGGTAAGGGGTAATGGGGTAACCGCAGCCAGAAACGCCTGGGTTTCTGCCAGTTTCTTGGACCCCTCCCAATAGTCTGTCTGGATATATGCTGGTTGAAACATGCTGTGGATGGAGAAAAACCCTGCACCACCTCAGAACCATGGTTGAAACCATGAGGTTTGTTGGTATTTACGTTCGGGAATCGAAGATCATTCCAGGGGTTTCTGAACGGTGCGAGAAGCGGATTTTGCCACCGATCCGCAAAACGAAAAGCCATGCCGACGCAAGGCACTGGCATCGCCCCGGCGATCCTCGACCTGGCTCTCTGCTGCAAAACGGAGAGGCCGCCGCTTTCTCGGCTGCACGCGCGGTGCGTTCTGCGTTTGGATTTTTCCTTTTAATCCAAGCAACAAACATGGCACATCGTTTCATGTGCTGAAATGAAGATGTGTTTTTGTTCCACCTCTTGGTTTCAAAGGGAAACTATTGCACTATTGGACATGCTTCTATGTTTGTTTTTCACGGGGTGAAGAAGCAAACGGACGTTTGCCAACACGGCGAACCAAAAAGGCCCAAGAATGCACCTACACCTCAAGGTTTTTGTTGCCAACCAACTTGATGTTGGGGGGGACTATTGCTTTAGGGAACCCCTCAAAAACAAAGAACAGCAACAACAGCACTATATATATATATATGTATTATATATATATATATGTACGTCAGGTTGGTGTCCCTTGAAAGCAACCACAACGGCTTCCAGTAGACTCTACTGGACATATTATTTTTATTTCTCCAGCGGACTTTAGCAAATGGAAGGTGTTCATGGACTTTAGTGACCTTTTGGGTTCGGACCATTTTAGTGGAAACCAAGTTGGTTTTTTGTTTGGCCAGTCTACTCAGGAAGTGAGCCATATCTACTCAGTGCTTCCAACCCTTTCACACTTGCTCATGTTTCCGGGTGCCAATCTGCCAATCTAAGTCTAGCCTCCACCGCTTTGGAAGACTTAGTTCCGTTTACCTTGGTCTCTCGCTGGTGCTCAGCAGGGAACGATACATGGAATGAAACTTATAAACCATCCAACTGGTGGTTTCCGTGAAGGGGAATCCCCTTCTGGTTCATTCCATGTCTCATTCCCTATCTAGGTCCCCCAGTAGTGCCCTTTTACCCTTATTTTGGGGAGGGTTCCCCTACTAAAATAGACTACAGAAACAAAATTGGGTACCAACTTATTCTAACCTCTCTGGAGGACCTGGCTATCGCAGCGATGGCAAGTTCTGGAAGCTTCCACCGGATGTATCACAAGTCCGCCAGGCCGCAGCCGCCCCCGGGGCTCTCGGAGCAGAGCGTTGCAGCTGCCCCAGCAAGCGAAAATGTGTCTTTGACCGCCCGGGAAAGCCGGGGTCTTCGGTTCCCGAACAAAGGGGGGGGGAGGGGTGCCGGGTCCTGAAAATGGGTGGGTGGGTGGGGGGCTCAAAATTGGTTCCCCTTGTTTGATGTTTTGTTGCTTTTTGGGCTTTTGGGTCCCCTTTGTTTTCCACTAGCCAGGCAACAACAACTAGTTTTTCGCTGGTGTCCGAATTCTAGCCAAGAAGGGCTCGTGATGTGCGTCACCAGCTGTAGGGGCGAAGCCGGGGGAAGGGGGGATTTTGGCGGGCAGCTCGGGGCACGTGACGTTTAGCAACGGCAGGGGCCTCCGAATGACCCCCCCGAATCAGTTCTCAACCAAACCCTCCAACACACGACGGCCCGCCGCCAGCCCGGTTAACAAAACAAGTTCGCAACAGCAAATGGTTGTTGCCTCGATTCCCGGGTATCAAAGGGATAAGCAAGTAGCAGAGTAACACAACAACACAGCTCCGCCACGCCTGGCACACAGGCGCGCTCACCAAGCCCGAACTCCTGGCAAAACCTTTGCAAATTGTTTCTGCACAGGCGGTCGAATCTGCGTCACCCGTCACCCGTCACTGGCGCTCAGCTGCCTCGGCAGGCAACACTGGCAAAGCAGCCGCCAAGACCCTTGCGTTTGCAACGCCAAAAGCAAAAGCGTGAGTGACACGGACACGCAAATCCTCAAATACCGGCACCCCAACCGCCAACCGCCGCTCAAGTTGCAAATTTGCTTGTTTCTCTTGCCAAAAGCTCCACGTCGCAACGCAGGCAACGCAGCCTAGTTTGTCAGGCTTGCCACGCACGCAAGTTCGTCAAAAGCCTGCCATTGCTCTGGCAAGAAGAGTCGCACGCCGTGCAATAGCTGCAGTGTTTGAAATGCAACATTTAACATCCGATAGTCGAACATGAAGGTGAGATGTTTGCGCTCCAACTCCAAATGCCGGCGATCTTAAAATCTTGGGATTGCTGGCCGACTTTAGTTGAACTCTAGCTTTTGCTGGCCAGCCACAGCCAAGCCGACAGTTCACTCCACGAAGGGTCCTACAGTCCTACACCTACCTACTGGATACAAGCACAAGGCCCTCTAGCTCATCCGCCTCTGAAAACAATCTGGCAAAGAAAGCACAACATCTCCTTCTGTCCTTGCAATTGTTGTAGTTCTACACTCTACGCAGAATGCCCCAGGGCTTCCAAGACCAAGGCAAAGGGGCCAAGGAAAAAGGCGAGCAAGTTTAGAGTTCCAGTTCCGGCATAATGAGGGTGCTGCCTATGCTCCCTGGGAATCATAATGTTGAAGCACCAAAAGTCAGTCAAAGGGTCAAAGGTCCCTGTTTTGAGATGTCGGGGTTGCCTGTACCAAACATGATTCTTTAGAGTGGCTATAGCTGTGGCAGCGCAGCATGGGAATGCAGTGGGTGGAATGAATTAGGGAAGCATTCTACGGATTGTGAGGCGCCGGCTCGTCTATTCCCACACTGCACAACACTGGAAGAGACTGGAAGACCATGGACAATGCGCCATGCTGCACAAATGGACACAAGGCGACGAGCCACGCGCTCAGGAGCTTGCCACTTGGCAAGCATGACGGTCACATGCGTCACTTCAACAAGTGCGCACCCTTCGCAGCTTTCATCGCGGCTGCTTTGTCGCCCTTTTTCTCTTCGAGTTTTCTCTTCTTTTTGGTGGCGGCTGTCTCTTCGCCTTTCGCCTCTAGCTCGTGCAAGCGAATCTCCCACGCTGCTGCCATCCCAACAGAGACAGCCTTGCCGTGCGCAGAGGTATCCTTCTTCTGCTTTGAGGCTTTCGCTGCAACCTCTGCTGCCGTCATTGCTCGCGCCAAAGAAACCGGCGCCGCAGACGGTGTCTCCATCTCCAAGGTCGAAAGCCTCATGGACTCATGGCGCAACATCTCCAATCTTCAATCATCGAATGGGAACAAAAAAGGGCATTCCGCTTGCGCTTGTCGAATTAAAGGCTTCGCCCCATCTTGGCCCGCCAGGGTATCTGCTCACTAACAGGCGGCTGCAATTGCCACAGTCAGACAATTAGAACAAATATGCTGGGGGGAAGAAAAGAAAAATGTGGTTGCTTGGGAAAACGTTGTTTATCATTGCGTTGCCTACCACAATAATCAAGGCACGTGTGCAAAGTCAGGCGGAACGTGGCAAACTTGTTGACAATCTCGCCGCTCGTGCCCTTCTTACCCTCACCGGCACCCATGTCAGCTTTGTCAGCTTTGCTCTGGCCAGCCACGCTGCCCGACTGAACATCAGCCGGATCTTGACGCACCCCTTCAAAAGCTGACTCCGGCACTGGAACTGTTGGCTGAGCTGGCTTGACGCCAGACTCGTTGGACTCATTGGCGCGAGCCAAATCCACAGCCGCAGCCGTCTCTTCGACAGACTTGGCAGCCTTGGCAGCCTCTGCTTTCTGGGTGTTTGCTGGCTTGTCCTGGCCTGGGTTCTGCTCGGCCATGTTGAGCTTCTCTGCGTGGGCAGCCGCAACTTGCTGTGACAGCTTTTGCACTTCAGACTTCAGGAACTCGTTCTGACGCTCCAGCTCCCGCGTGTTCTCCCGCAAGGTCTCAATAGCCACAGGAGGCGAAATCGAAACAAGGCCCTGCGAAGTCACGAACGCGTCCATGCCAACCTCCTCCGCCTTGAGAGTCACGTTCTCCTTTTTGGGGGTCGGTTTGGCAAGCCACGCTGGTACCAGGACTTCGCCGCTTGGTGGGGTCGGTGCAGGGTGCACAAAAAAGTCAACTCCTCCAATGCGGGCAATGTTCTTTGCCTGTGGGGATGACATTGTGGTAGACACTGGCCCGACATAGCACAAGTCAAGGCCAGCTGGGGCGTTCACAAGAGCAACTTTGTCCTTGATGCCTGAGACAGCAGAGTCGGCCACAAACAAGACGTACTTGTCGGTGTGGGCGCTGGATTCAGCCAGTACGCCCCAGAGGAGACTTTCAAGAGATCGCTCAACAATCTTCACCCACTGCGCAGCCATGGAAATGCCAAGTTCTTTCTCCAGCTTGTTCTTCTCCCGCACGCGAGAGCCGTCATCATCGCTGCAGGCAGACAAGAAGACGGAGTGCAAGTCTTTGGCAACGATCAGAGGCTTCTGCAAAGCCGCAAAGGCGGACTCAGGCTCGGCATCTTCTTCAGGTTGGCCCGCGTCAGACTCCAAATCAACATCTTCGCCGCCTGCGTCACCCGAGCCCGAGTCCTGCAACTTGAAGACATGAGATGGCAGCACGCTGAAAAACGGCGAACACGAAACATCACGGACCGACCATCCATTCATCCAACACGGCAACATGCTGAACAAGAAATGCTACGACTCACTACGACTGTCCAAGAATCCAAGGACCTTCCTTCCACGCCAACCGGCCACAAATTCAAAGGTGAGGAGTGAGGTACCCTTGTCCAAATTGTCCCCCTTGGTCATAAAAAGGGTGTTGTTGAGCTGAGTTGCTGAGTCAGTGAGTCTAACAAGCAAACAATCGAGTAGCAACCGCTGCGCGGTGTCCTGGAACTTCGCGGACTTCACCGACTGAGCGAGGGCCGCAAAATGCTCTTTCTCTGCGCTCGCTCCTCTTGGCACTGCTGCAGGCGCTGACTGCGACAGCTGTGTCTTCTGCTGAGTCTGAATGCCAAGCAGGTCTCTGGCTGCTTTTGGAACATCTGACACCGCCGCGCAGCTTGTCAAAAGCTGCGACCACTTGCTGCTCCAACCCTCATCTCCTTGCTGAGCCAATTCCTCGGATAAACGAAAAGACAGACCACCCAACGCACTGAAATGGATTCCGGATTTGGGAACGGCAGCAGCAGGCTGACTTGAAGCAATTAAAAAATCGCGGCGAGATCGCTCACCAATTTCTGGGTGTGAACAAGTAGGACCAACTGCAGTTTGACTAGAATCCCTTGCCACCGCCACAATTGCGGACACAGGAAAGCACTGGAAAGCACTATGAAGAACGAAGAACCAACTCAGAGTAACTAAGAGGCGATACAATTTGTTTACTTCATTGCGCAGGTCAGCATTGCGTTGCGCAAAATCAATCATTGCACTATCAGCCTATCAGCTATCATGAGTCACAGTCACAGAAGGTGTGTGGCAAAAAAACATGAACAAACATGCGTTGCTTGACACAAGCAAGCCCCCCCGCCCCCCTCCCAAAGTCAGACAAGCAACCGAGTCAAACGCAGCAAGCACAGGGATGATGTCGCCCTGGCCATCCATCAAGGTCATGTCAAGCGGTGGAATGGACTCGACCTCTGAAGCTAAAGACGCCACCAAGCTGAAGACAGCGGGGGCCCCCTTGAGCACCCTCATGGTGACCAAGTCCTTCAAGCCCAGAATAATGTACCGGGCCCGCGCAGAGCAGAAGCGACCAAGAATGTCATCTGATGACCGGAAAACCGCAGCAGCACCGTCGGGAAAGCGACCTGTCTGCTTCAGCAGGAAGCCCACGCAAGAGCCATAAATGACCCAAGCCTTCGGCACAGCGTTGACCTCCGCGAACACTTCATGGAAGAACGCAAGCTGCGTGGGAAGATCCGCAATGTCAGCGAACTGGCGCTGTCGCGTGCCCAAAGCCCTGCGAAACACAGAAAACTTTTCATGCATAGACTCTGGCAATACCAGCTGGGACTCGACAAAGCTTTTGACAGGGTCCACGTCAAAGCCGCGGACATACCCAAGCATTGCCTCCTCATCCTTGCCACCGTCGGTCTCTTCGTTGGGCTCCGCAGCAGCCTCATGAGGCTGCAAAACAAAAGAGCAAACAAACAAACGCTTTGTTTTTTGACGAATTGGCCCAAGCTGCCAGAACGCAACGTGAAATCCTAGGCTCAGCCCGCAGCCCTCAGCCCTTTTGCTCAATGGCTGTCTAGATCAGAATCAGCCCTTCACTGCACGGGCCACTAAAGACTGACAGCCGAGCTGCTTCGTTGACCATGGACATCAGCTCCTGCGCCAGCACTAGCGGGTCATAGGACTTTTCGCCCACGTGCAGCTTCTGGTGGGCGGCGTAAAACACGCGCTGGCACTCCTCTCGGAAGGCGTAGTAAGTTTTGAAGGTCTTGCCGTTCACCGCGACGGAGCACGCCCACGCAAGTTCCAGAAACAAACTGGTCAGGAACTTCTTGGTCCGGACAGCTTCCTCATCCGAAATGCTGGCCCGGAGATTGGAGCGGGCAAAGCTCAAGGCGCACAAGAAGTCGTCCAGGGCATGCTTGACTCTGGACTCCGGCGGCTTGGTCCTGGTGGAAATAGTCTCGATAAACTCCTTGGCCTCGTCAAGGCCTTTGTTGGGTTTGTCGGGCATCTGCTCTTCGCTGCGGCAAGCATCTGCCTTGGCCTTCTTTTTGCTGGCCTCTCTCTTCTTCTTCTTCGCAATCTTCTTCTCGCGCTTTGCCTGTTTCGCGGACTGGAGACCGTGCAAGATCTCATCAACGTCTGGCTGCTTCTCCTCCTCCTCCTCATCCTCTTCGCCTCCGCTGGAGTGACCTGGACCCTCCTGCTGCTGATCTGTTTGCTCCTGCTCCAGCTTCTTCTCTATAGCTAGGTCTTCCTCCTGCTCAGCCTGCGCGCCGCTGGAAGGAGGAACCGGAAAACCAGCTTGTGAACCTGTGACCATGGCATCATTGATCTTAGACAGAACATGACAAATGACTCCGACTCAGTGATAGAGCGCCAGCCGTCCACCTAGGCTTCGCTTCACTTCCTTCAATCAACCGAAAACTCAAAGCAGTTTGGCTCTGCGAATTGACTTGGGTCGCAAACACAAACTCGGGGACATTACCTCGAACCAAATTCGACACCCTGGCCCGAGCTCACTTCTTGCGGCCAAGCACAATGGAAACGCGAGCAGGCAGTAGGCAGCGTGGCGAGGCAAAACAGCGGAAGCAGCGAAGCCTCGAGAATGAAGCGTTGAAGCTCTGGAGGCCAGAGCGGCAGGAGGAAAGAGCACAGGCAGCAAAGGAGACAAATGAGACGTGAACAGCAGGCGAGGGAAACGAAAAGCGAGCGGACACTGGAAAGAACAGCGAGCCAACGAGGCTCGCGCCAAGCAGCGCCAAGCAGGCACGCGCCCAAGCAGAGGCAACCAAACGGCAAACGGCAAACGGCAAACCGAGGATCGCAGGCTCAAGCAAGGCAGCAAACATGAAAGGGCGAGGGCGAGGTAGGTAGGTGCTCCAGCCTTGCATTTGAGCAGCTTCTTGAATGTCACGGATTCGCCCATGGGCGTCATGATGTTTGCCATCATAGCACGGTCCTCCTTCCGCTCGAAGACGAAGGGGATATGCCGGTGGGACCCGCTTCCAAGAGACGGAACCTTAGCTGGGCACACACGCACGCTCTAGCAGGCAATGCTTCAACTCTTCCAGATGAGTCTTCAGTCTTCAGTCATTTGGTCTGCAAGTTTGCTGAGTTTGCCAGCTGCGTGCCAGGTCGTTCGCTCAAACACTTGCCCTCATGGTTCGGAAAATGCGCTCAGGAATTCTCAACTGCCAACCCACACACAACCCCTCAAACAAACCAAAGACACAAACTCTACCATCTTCTTCAGCCTCAAACACTCAACCGCTTTACATCCCAAGAAGAAAGGTTGGCCAGGATGGGTACTGGGCAAGCATCCAGCATGGCAATTTGGTTTTCGTCTCCCCAAATTACGTGGCTGCCCCAACCTGCCCCGCATACGTGGCCCCCCACCTAGCCAAGCTGCGCAAAACTTCATTGCCTCTGCAAGAACAACGCGAATTTCTGGCTTTGGGTGGAAGCTTCTCAAGCCTTTGACGATGACATTGGCCATCGCGTTCATTGTCGAAAGCGCAGACATAGGGTTGAAGCCGCACAGAAAGTCGCCATGCGCCAGGTGCCAGTCCTGCGACGCAGGAAAGATAAACGTTTGGCTCTTGCCAAACACCATTCCACGACGCTGACACGTGAATTCAACCCAAAAAGGTCGGTCTGAGTCGGTCTGGCTTTGGCGTTTGAGTGTTGCCTTGATAAGCTCAACCGTTCCTCTGCATGTGAAAGGAAACCTGATAAACAAAGCCGATCGCAGAATGCCCTTGTTTACGAAAAATACCGGACCGAAACATTGTATACATTGGCAATACCTTGGTCGCATGGTTGCGACCAACCCAAAGCCCAACGCCTTAAAATGCTTAGAGCCCGCCGACAAAAATCTAGAACCAGACAGGCGGCTTAAGCGCCACCTTGCCCCGCCACGCCGCGGCCCGGCCTGAAATTCTGAATACACATCGTAGAATTCAAGCGTGTGTGCCAAAGATTTGGCATCTCCGAAAGCCGTCACAGTCTCTTTGAAAGCCTCAGAGTGAGTTCTGACGAAGGCGTCGTACAACTTCTGGTAGTTCGGGTTTCGAGCGGTGATGCCCTCCAACGCACAGCGCTTTTTCCAGGAGGCTTCCACTTTGAGGCTTTCGCCCAAGAGCCCGCAGACTGTCTCACCACTTCCTTGATGGTGGCGATTGTGCTCTGAGCAGAGCCACTCGACTACGAAGTTCGGCGTGTCTTTGCCAAGCACTCGGGCCCGCCGCAAACCATGCTGAAGGGCTTGTTGGACCATTGGGTGCTGCGGATCTCTGGAATAGGCGTTGTAAAAGGCCTGACGCCTGTGGTTGTAGCTCAAGCACAGGAGCGGGTAGTTGCGCGCCTTCGCGCCTTTCCCCCAGCGCAGCCATGGCAAACCTGACACTGACACACTTTCACCGAAACCAGAAACTTCATATTTTCAGGAGACCGGCAAACTATTCTGAAGCACCTAAAGTTAGAAGCGCAGCCCTAACATCGTTGAAGGAAAAAGTAAATTCATGAGTCTGCTTGGCGCCTACTTGCCTGCAAAGCACTACTGCGCCACCAAGCCACCTGCGCAATCGTCAGCAAGGCCCGAAGCAAACAGCCGTTGCTCGTACTCGGCTACAGTCGAGAGCTGCAAGGGTCGGTTCAATGGGTCAGCAATCAGATTCGGCTTGCCGTCTTCATCGAACCAGGGGATGTCAACGTACTCATTCTTTGGCTCCCCGAAAATCTCAAAGATGCGCTCAATCCTCAGGGCCCCCACGCATTCCTCGCCAAAGAGCTCCTCAATGGACTGAGCCTCCTTCGCGCTTTTAGACTTCTTGCCATCCCCCGCGCCAGGCTCAGAAACAGCCTTGAATCTCCTCTTTTTCTCGGTGTTGCGGGGGCTGGGCATTGCGCCAGCAGTGCCACCAGTGCTTCCTTCATCGCTGGCCTGAGGCGCAAGCTGCCTTGCAGACCGCTTTGACATGCTTTGCAAGCCACGCCCACACGTGGCGGAAAGGTGAAGGTTGCCGGTTTGCCAAAAAAGTTGAAAGGGTGCCAGGCCCAAGTGACGAGCCAAGCAAACTCTGACGAACTTGTGGGCTCGCCTCGAGCCGAGTCTGGCAGAATCCATGCAACTCTCAAAGTCTGCAGTCGCACAACGTCTACACGGAGTCTACACGGTGTCCCGTACCACATGGTCGACTTCAACCAAATCGCGAATGAGCGACAAGCCAAAACACTGATGAAAAGTATCTAACAACAATGAACAATCTTCCCGCCCGCCCGAAAACAGAACCGGATATCTGCGCAGTCACAAGCGCAACTAGTCACCCCAAAAAGCATGCGGCACGAAGAGTCACGGGTGGCGAATGTCAAAACAAAGCTCAAGCTGTAAAGCGAACCTCTCAGCTCAACACCGGGGTCAGCCAGCGCCCGAGGCCCCAGCCACAATCTCAGGATCTGCCGAACTGGACTTCCAGCGTTGCGCCTGTCACGGAAGGGCGCCACACAAACCCAAACCTGCTAACCTGCGCTAACATGCCAAAAACCCAACATCCGAACGGCCGCCTTTTCCCCGACAATCAGACCATAAGACCATAGGGCCTTTGGGCGCAGTGCAAAAATATCAGTTTTCAGTCTTCAGTTCACCCGGCCCCATTTTTTCTCGACGCTTCACCTTTCAGCCTTGGGCGGGCCAATCTGTCCAGTGGAAAATGAGCCCTGCAATCCGAAGTTGCTGAGACATGATGAGTTGCGTTGCTGAGTTGAGTTGCACAAAGGAAGCCGGCCTGCCTACGCAGCGGCTCCGAAATATAGCACATCATTTGCAGCATCTGATAGCCCGCGCCACTGAAGCAAACAACTCGACAAAATAACGAAGGGGTAGTCTGAGTTTGCATCGGTCTGGTAACAACGGTAACAGGCCAAGTGTTCTAACAAGTCGTGGACTTTCAGGTGGCGACAACTGCCGATTGCTGCGCTGCTTCGGAAGTTCAACCTGCCCAAAGCAGCGCCAAAAGTCGCGCCGAAGCAAGAGCGCAGCAGCAGCAACGCAAGCCAGCGAGTCAGTGAGTCAGCGATGACTTAACTTTACAGCGTCATTGACTGGGGAAACGCAAGAAATTCACGAATGTTGAAAGCTTGGATTGCAAAGCTGGCATCATGACTCATGACTGCTGCTCCATCCCACATAGCAGTCACATAGCAAGGTCTGGCTGGCTTTGGGCACCGCCGGTTGCGCATCGCAATTCCAAAACATGTGCGGGAAAAGCACGTAGGCTCGCTCACCTCAGACTCGTCAACGGCGAAGGGGCGAAGGGGCGCTTTTCCCGCGCTTCCGCTTTTTCGGGCCTTCTGGCGCACGAAGAGACGCTACTGCCCGAGCTGCCTCTGCCGCTGCAGCCAAGTGTTCTTGTTGGGCAACATGGGCCGCGTGTTGCTGCTGCATGCAGGCATCCCGGAACAGAGACACCTCCGCCACAATCCTGCGGGAAGGAAGGCTATTGGTGGCCCAAACTGCAACGCTATTGCGCAACTCAGAAATGTAAGAAGTTGCACTTGTTCGCAACTCACCCTCAAATCCGGTGATAACTTAACAGCTTGCTTGCTTGCTTGCTTGCTTGCTTGCTTGCTTGCTTGCTTGCTTGCTTGCTTGCTGGCTCGCTCGCTCGGTCGCTCGCTCGCTCGCTCGCTCGCTCGCTCGCTTGCTTGCTTGCTTGCTTGCTTGCTTGCTTGCTTCTAGTTACCCAGGCGGCAGAAAGAACCATTGCACCGTAACATCAACATCACGACCAATTTTCAACACAGCAGAGAGCCAAGTGACAAGGGCTAGCAAGCAAGCAAGCAAGCAAGCAAGCAAGCAGGCAGGCAGGCAGGCAGGCAGGCAGGCAGGCAGGCAGGCAGGCAGCAGTCAAGCAGGCAAGCTGGAAGGCTGGGTTCGCGTTCTAAGCTGGCCAAACAACAAGTTTCAAATCTTAGTTAGCAGGGGCAGGGTCCTCAGGCCTCATCAGGATGCAGTTGAAACTGAAATGAGGGCCCGCGGCTCAACCTAATTGCCAATCAACTATCAACACAAGTTTGTGTGGAGGACCGAACCCCCGCCCCCCTCCTTCAAGACTCGTCACCGTCACCCATTCAAAAAGCGTGTGAAAACAAGCGCGCAACAGCTACAACAATAGCAAGACTGGGAAGCGTTCGGCAAGTTTGCAAAAGCACAAGCTCAAGAAGTCAAGGGCTTCCAACTCGTCCTGTCAGTAGCTGCCGCTGCTCGCCAGCAAGCTGCAGAATGCAGCACGCAAATGTAGGGGCAAATCACGTTCATGCTGTTGCCTGCTTGGGAGCAAGCCTGCCGCGGTTTTCGGGCTTCGCGAGGGAAATTGAAGCAGCTGATTCGGAAATCAGCGTGCAGGCCAGGGTGGACCGGGAAGCACTGCGACAACAAGCATTCAGTTGCAAAGAGCCACCGCGACGCTGCCCGCTGATTGCCAGGGAAGTTGACCGGGCAAATGTACGGGTCGACGCTCAAGACATCATCGACCCAGATCCTTACAGTAAGGGAGGCCTCCTCTGACACCCCGGTGAATCAAGTGACCCAAGTGCGCTTAAACTCTGTCGGTTTGCTTTTTTGTGCGAGTGTTATCTCAATTGGTCTCAAATTGTCTCCATCAAGCCCATCAAGTTCACATCAGGACGCAGGACAAGACACCTCTACAGCCTCTACGACTGAGTTAGGCGCAGTTAAGCGCCAACAAGCCTCATCTTGACTTACTTGCCAAAGAGGAAAAGCGCAACTGCAACTCCCAGCACGCAGAACGCAGGACGCACGGCCGCGCAGCCAAAGAATCCAAAGAACAAAGAACTGCAAAAAAAACACAGGCGATTGTCAACTTGGCAACTTGGAAAGAACAATATTCTGAACACTGAACACTGCAATCTTAACGCCGATCAGAATCAACCCAAGGTTGTGGATCAAGGTGTGCAACCACAAGTCCGTAGACCGCATCCCGTGGCCCTTTGCTGGGTTCTGGTTCAATTGCCATGCCTGTGCTGGAAAACGCTCCGAGTATTTTGATCTCATCTCAACCTCAGTGACATTCAGGGCCGCGAGGAAAGGCTGCTTAGCCGGACCGCCCGCGCTGACAATCGCATCCTGCGCGACGGACTGACAGATATAAGGCTGGAATTCGCTACTAGTAACTAGTAGATTGTTTTTTCTGCGACAACGCGCAGGGGTGCAAGACCCCAACGCAAGATCCATTGACAAATGACACAAAGTAATTACCCCCCAGCACTGCACTAAGTACCCCTACACTCTTGACCTGCCCAACACTTCAACACGTCTGACAAATTTCCCGGTTTTCCAGTCATGCGTCAATCAATTTGTCAATCAACCAAGACAGCAACTGGATGTTGAGTCATGTTGAGTGTAGCAGCTGCCACACTGTCAGTAGAGTCAATGAATCTGCCTTTTGGCCGTGCAAAGCAACTGCGGAGGCTCGCCTTGGCAGCAGAAACCCTGTCCACGCCATAGTGCTTGATGATCGTGTCCAAGGCAGAGGCAGCGGCCTCCTTTTCGTCACCAAACGCGTGGGTCATGCTCAAAGAGCGCGAGGAGGCCCATTGAAGTTCACGCTCGTACTCGTTCTGCAAGACGCCATCCTTGAACATATGCTGAAACAGCAACTCCCGCCATGACCACATAGCAGCTCGCTGGAACCGTTGTTGGAACCGCGCAAGTGGGGAGACCTCTTGCACGGCAACGGCTCGATGCCGGAGCCGATGGTACTTTCGCACTCTGGCGCACGGCATCCTGGCGGTGGGGTTCTTGCTGCGAGCAACGGAGCTGAGCAACTGGCAAAAAGAAAAGGGAGCCTAGCCTAGGAGTTGCAACCGGCAGTTTGCAATTCATCGCAATGAGGCTATGATGAGGCTTTGCCTCGCTTGAGAAGAAAAAAGGTCTTGCAAAAACTGCTCTGCTGTGCTGCCCAAGTTCCCAAACATTCTTGGATCCATGACCTGCGACTCTATCACGTAGTACTTGCCCAGGAGCCGCTCCAGAATGTGAGATGGGAAGCTCTCAACGTTCTCCAAACTTATTTCATACTCCTGCACCTCCAGCCTCAGTCCGATCCACGCTAAAAGGTGAAGCACATTGGGGTCTGCCAGCCCCAACTGCTTCCCTTGTTTGCTGTGGGCAGTGCAACTGCTTCCTGCCGTGTGCATTCTTGCTGTGCCAATGAAGCATAGCTTGCTGTGGCGCGCGCAGTGCGCCTTCCTCCGCATGGCGCTTTGGGCAGCCAAGAGTGGGCTGAGAACTTCCACAGCCATCGACGGCTTCTTCTTCAACTCTTCAAGCACTTCGTAGAGCTCTGGGCGGAAAAACTGGGCAATGTCAGTGAAAATGCACGTGTTCTGCTCGATGCCGCAAGCAAGCGTCTCCAACTCAGCTTGGCATTCTGTGTTCCATTCGCAAAAGCTCAGCAACTTGGGGAGCGCCACCTGCAGGAAGAACAACCAGGCCACACCACAAGCAAAAGCTCGGGGTTTAAACCGCTTCGAGCCGACATTAGAAAGCTTTTTCCGGCTTTTCCCGCAGAAAGAAAGCCGTGGACTCAACATTGAACATGAGCACAGCGAACACCTGAACGCTGCACCATGTGCAATCCAGGGTCCAGGGTTGGGCCTACAGCCTACAGCAACTAGAAGGATGCTCGGCTGATAACTGAAAAACAGGTAGCATTTGAAATTGGACACGTGAGAATCATGAGGGCAAATTGCAATTGGATAGCGTTTTCGGTTGGAAACGAGCTCTCTGCGAATGGTCTTGCAGTCGCTTAGCATCTCTTGGGTCAGGGTCAGCCCCCAGCCCACGGCAGTGCCTTTCGCTTAGGCAAGCGGGCTTGAAGCGCGTGATGAAAACCTAAAAGCGCAGTCTCGGGCGCCGCAATTCCTGAAAAAGCAGAGCTGTGCGTTGCGTCTTCCAGCCAGTCGGCCAATGAATCTAGAGAGCAGCGAGCTGGGTCATATCTCCTACCAGGGCTTGAAGACGGAAGTTCATCTTCTGAAGCGGCCACCACTTCATCCAGAAAGGATTCGTAGAACAGCACCGCCTCTTTCAAAGATCGTGTTGCCTTTTCGTTGCCGGCGCCTTGGAATTCGCATCTGGTCAGCCCCATATCCCGGGCTGCAGCAGCCAGCTCCTCGTCGCCAAACTTCCCTTCTTCACCTTCCACATCCACAGCAGCTGCTAGCTCAGCCACTTTGGCGCCTTCTGGGCCTTGCGCTGCACGATCTGCGCGGCTGGGCACCGGTGCCGGATCTGGCTGCTTCGACTTTGGCTGCGTGAAAGCGCTCAACTTGGTTTGGCGTTGCGCTGCCGGAAGCTGCGGCTTTCCTGCGTTCACTGGAGACTGAAGGGGCGCACAAGCATAACACCAAACGCTCAAGACACGAACGCTGGAAAGACAACCTGCGCCCTGCACTGTTCTGCCACTGTCTGCTATTTAACCTGCTCTACGACTCTACCTCTACAGCCCTACGGCTCTGCTGCACTACGTACTACCTTGTTGCTTCGATCCCGTATATACCGGTCCAGCATCTTCACTCATGACTCATGCCACTAAATCTGTCACCTGGTCTTTCAATCCAGCAGCTCGTTGGCCTGTGAAAACTGTGAAAGCCTCTCAAGTTTGTCCCCCTACCGGACATTACCAGATGCATTCTAGCAAAAAGCACTGCACATGCTACACGCTGCGCGTCGCAACTGCCAAAATACCACTCAGACTCAGCACGATAGTAGAACTTCAAGAACATTCAAAAACGAAGAGTAGTGGAAAAGCAATGAGCTATGAAGCGCAACTCCAAACTGAGCGTCACAACGGTCACAGCTGCGTGGGACAATGTGCGCAACACAGCACGGCAACACGGTTTCGCCCAAGCTTCGCGCCCGTGCTCCTGCGTTCTGCGATTGGCTCACCCGGCTTTCCCGCAACTCCTGAAGCAACTCCTCCGCCAGTTGAGCAGCAACGTCAACGTCGTTGCTGCCCGCAATGGCAGTCTCTGCGGACTTGGCCGAGGCCGCCAATGGGATGAGATCATCCTTGTTCTCGAAAGTGTCTTCCCAACGAAACTTGTACCAAATCTCCTCTGGCAAATCTGGAGAAATCTGAAAAGTAACAAGAAACAGGCATTGTTGGATTATTTAGAAGAAGGGTTTCAGCTTACGGCGTTGGTTCGTTGGGTTTACAAATGTTGGCTAGCAGTTGCACATGTTGCAAGTTGAAAGCGCCAGTCCCTGTCAACCTACGACCGCCCGCCAACCAAGTCCCGCTAACCAAGTCCTGCGACGACAAGGGCAAATACCGAGGGGGCTGCAGCTGACTCCGAAGGCGTATCTTCCAAGCAATGCATCCACCTGCGTCTTTCTTCCAATTAGCTCGCATGGCCGCATAGTCTTGTGGATGGACGAGGTGGTAGTCAAAGAACTTATCAAACGTCGCATGTTGCACAAAAGTGTTCCCTTCGAACACAGCTATTCCCGCAACTTGGCAACAACACTGCCCGAAAGAATTTCTCCTCTCCTCTTTCGGAAGAATCCGCAGCAAATAGAACTCTGCCCCGGCCTGGAGGATGCGGCAGTGCGAGTTCCGAATCTCCCAAGTCTTCTGCCCTGCCAAGATTTTGTCCATTGGCCCCGACCGGATGAGCAATCCCCGCAATGGCGGACGCACCACGCTGGAGCTTGTCGATGGGTGCCTTTGGCGATGCGCAAGGCAAGCGTGCAGAACCACTGACTCAATTGCCAAGAGTATTTGAGGTAGCATGTTGAGCATTCTGTTCAAGTTACCGGAAAAAGTCAGCCACTTTAACAGCGCCACCACAAGGATCATGAAGTTGTCAGAAAGGCCACCCAATGGTCACCAAGTTGCCCAAGGTGTTGCTACGCGTTGTTAAGAATCAGATTACTCTCTCGCAACAAAGGTTGTTCCTGCACGAAACAGTTGCGCAAGTTGCGCTCAGCAAAGGAAAAAAAGGCAAAACATTGGGGCCACCCCATTCACCCGAATGGCAGGGGGGAAGCCCCCCATTCGGGGCAGGACCCTTGAATGGGGGGGCCCCCCCCCCCCATTCGGGGCAGGACCCCTGAATGGGGGGGGGGACCCCCCCCGCATTCGGGGCAGGACCCCTGAATGGGGGGGCCCCCCCCCCCCTATTCGGGGCAGGAGCCCTGAATGGGGGGGGGGTACCCCCCGCATTCGGGGCAGGACCCCTGAATGGGGGGGGGGCCCCCCCCCCCTATTCGGGGCAGGAGCCCTGAATGGGGGGGGGGACCCCCCCTATTCAGGGCAGGACCCTCGAATCGGGGGGGGGGGGGGTTTAAAGGGGGGGGTGCGCCAGGAAAGGAGCAAAGCAAAAGAAAAGGGTGGGAATCATGAAGAAAGGTGAAGAAAGCTTTGAAACCTCACACTTTGCGCGCGCGCTTCGGGCAGCAAAGCGCAGATTTGTTTTGCTTGCAGCATTTGCAGCTGCGTGTTTAATCATCAAAAACACAGCAACACCAGCAGCACCCCCACCACGCCGCAGCAACACCAGCAAAACCACTCTGGGCAGTCGTTTGTTCGCGCGAAAGCCTTGCCTCGATTCCTGGTGGTAGTCATAGTAGTCACGTGTGTTGTTTCAGGCGACGCTGTCAACGCACTGGCTTCTGCTCTCGCCTCCCCGCCCCCTGCCCCCTCCGCGCAACAACTGTAAGAATTTGCGTGCTCAAAAGGCAACCTATTGTTCACCGGATTGCTCGAGTTGAAAAATTGGCGGGCGGAGTGGAGTGTTCCGCATTTCGGGGCATGCACAAATGCAAGCCCTGTCTCACATTGAATATCGTCTATGAGCCTACTTCCTTGCAAGCCTTCCCCCTTGCGCGCGGCCCGCAAAGTAACAAACCAAGGCTGACTCAAGTCCTGAAAGCAACAACATCTCATTCAGCCCAACCACTGCCCCAATAACTTGAAAACGCAACAACCCCAAACCACCCCCCCTCTTCCCGCAACAGTCCTTTCCCCAAAGTCACCAGCCCCAGGCACCGTTTGAACATAAAACCGGGGCTCCAACAAGACAGTGACTTGATTTATCCCTCCGCCCTTGTCCCTGTCACAATGACCCACAAGAATTTCTCGTTTCTGGCATGTTCCAAGCATCCTGCGTTGCACATCTTGCCTACCGCAAGCTGTGCGTATAAGGCAAGGTGCTGCAAGCCTTCAGCGGGCTCCACGGCCGTCATGGCGCCAACGGTTGCGCAGAGCCGCCGATCGCCAATCGAATTGGCACTTGGTTGCATTGCGGACACAAAAGTTAAGACAGGTTGTCCGGTTGTCCCAAGCAGTGTTTCAGCTTCGGCGCCCGCGCGCTGCGCCTGTTGCAAGAGCCAAAACAAGCCCAGCGGTGCACGCGATGCTTCAAGGGGCCCGCAAGTCTTACAAGTGTTACAAGTGTCTTACAAGGGCCTCAACTTCTCAAGCCGAGCAAAACGGGGCAAACACCCAGGCTCCAGGCCTTCAAGCTGGCCGTGGCCACCATCGTCCGGTGGCGAACTCGCTTGGGAGCCTGGGGCTGGTTGGGAGGCGCAGCAAGTAATCAAACTGAAATCTGCAATCTGCTCACAAAAAACTCTCTCTCTCTCTCTCTCTCTCTCTCGCTCTCTCTTACAGTGAAAGCCAAGCCTGGCCTCCAACTCCACGGTATTCTTCTCGTGTAGCGCTGAACACCTCCTGCCATAGGTGTCTTTCTGTCCAGCAATTAAGCAGCCTTTCCAAACAACCGAGCACCTGCTATCAAGGGACGGGTCTTGGGGGTGGAACTTGAAATTGAACAATTCTTGGCAACTTGTTCCGAACAAGAAGGTGTGGTGAAGTCACACGGCGACTCAGGTACGTCGGACACGCTCGCGCACTCGGTCGCATTGATCAGGCAAAAAGCGCTCTTCAAAAAGAGGGACACACTTCCCGTTGCGGAACCCAACAAGACAAGTCTTTTGAGTTCACTTGCAACTAGGAACTCTCCCTGGGACGAACGGACAAACTAGCCTGTAGTGGGACTCAAGTATATTGTAAAAAAACTATCAAAGACCGCACGAGCTAGGACCACCCAAGCCAGCACGAGTCCCAAGCCTCGCCACGCACTTGTTGGCGATGTTGGTGGCTCACGCTGGCAAGCCGCGCCTCAGGTCGCAAGCAAGCGGCGGCAGCGTTGACTGACGACAAAAGTTGCAGTTGCAGCTGCACTTTTGCACCAACCTCAAGGCAACTCAATGAAGAGCATCGCATTAGCCACATTCACATAGGCAACAAAAACTGAACAACAACATTGGCGTGCGCAATCACAAACTCACAGCTCTTGTCGCGCCAGCATTCTTGTCAGACTCGCCGTGCAGACGCAAGGCACGCTGCTAAGCCATGCAACAACCCACATCATGGCCCGAACTATTGACTTGTTGACGCTACTGTCATTGGGCAAAAAGGCTCTGGTCCAGACCAGAGCGGCTCTGGTCATCTGGTCATGCCTGAACTTTCTCGTCCCAAATTTGCAAAAGGAGGACACTTGAAACAACCTTCGTCAGCTCTAACAAACAAGCGACACGATCAACACAAACAAACTCCCTTGTCCCTTGACCTGACCCAAGCTTTCTAGCTCACACTCAAAAGCGAGCCCTGTCAACGCGCGCACTGCTGTACAAGCGCGCAATGTCAGAGCAAGTTTGAGCAAATGGCAACAAATCATTGGACTGGTCAAGTTGGTCAAGTTGATCTGCGCTTCTTCAGTGGCCGCGCCGCCGAACTGCCAGCCACCAACTCAAGGCTGTCCCCCTCTTCACACTCACAGTCAACCTCGACATCCAGCGCGGCAATGTTGGTGTTGGCATGGTGGCTGCGGCTGGCGTCTTGGCCAGGGTAGTGGTGATGATGATGGATGTGGAGGTGGAAATGGGTTGAGTGGCTGTGGCTACTGAAGTTCGAGTTGTGTGAATTGTGAGTGGTGTTGAAGTGGAAGTTGTCGCTCGTAAATCGCTGATAGTATTTGTGGTAGTAGTGGTGGTGGTGGTGGTAGTGGCAAACTGCAGAGGTTGGCGGCGAGTCAAGGATGGCGCCACACGGGCCACGATGTGGCGCAGGCGCAGGAGCAT